CTCTTATTCTCCTGCCGAACTGATGGCTGTAGAACCGGAGGCATACCATTTAGATCAAATTCAGTGTCTCTATTTTTGTTTGGTTCCGGTTCGAATATCCTACCAATATTTAGGATTCCTGCCTTTTAAAATTTTCGACGGTCTATAACCTACAGAAATATTTTGAAGGAATTTGAAATATTTTGAAGGAATTTGGTAGGAAAAGCTTATTTCCTACGATTTTTTGATGATATATGTCGTATGAATATGTAATGTTTTCTTGTAGTGGAATCATCATGCATCTTCCAATCAAAACGATGAAGGAGATTCATCATAGTTTCTTGGGAGATTCAAACTCTTGGCTAGGGGTTGTGTGAAGCGCCAATTAGAATCATTGATCATACAGCTTATAAAAAGGACAATTCTACTCTGTTATTAAACTGGTCTTTCTTGTGTTATGCTCTGTCTCTTAAGTATTCAAGGCACGATTCTAGACCATATGACAGATTCAACGAGCTCAAAGATTCACCTATACACTAGTTATTCCCTTTCCTAGCGAGTGTGGATATTCAACCACATGAATCTCCTATATGCTATGTGGCATGTCTCCAAAGTTAGGCTCGCCACCAAATATCTATTCACCTCTCTATTATTATTTCACATGCTGAACATTTGGTTATTGAGGACATTAAAGACATTCATACATAATAGTCTTGTTTTCCCACTTGTGTAGGTGGAAAACGACTACCTTGTTTCTTTTTGGGAGCTAAGGATCTTCTTGCAACTACTATCCCCACAGGGTTAACAATAATGTAGACACACATTCAAAAGTTGATGAGATAAAAAAGGCTTGTGGTAAAGTAATCCAGCAACGTGAGATCAGATCAATTAATGTGACGTTTACTGGTCTCTCCATCGGAAGAAGATATTGAAGATCAATGATAAAAGATTTAAAAAATTGAAAGTTAACAACAAATTCTCGAATACAAAGAAAGAACAACAGGAAAACACACCGAACATTAAAAAAACAACCACAGCTACGTACCATTGTAGTGGTATAGAATAAATTAAGATCTACTTAATGCCTTGTCCTTGTCCAATTTTCTGTGCCGTGGCCTGCTTAAACATTGCCAACCTCATCTTCTCAATCTCCGTATGCGCGGCTAGCAACTCATCCTGCAACTCGGCGATCTTAATACGTCCAGCTCGAAGCTCATCCCACAAGCTTGGCTGTACACATGTACTCATCAAGGTAAAGAGCATTGAAACAACGAAAGAGTTAACTCCCTGGATCATTACAAATATAAAAATCAATCAAGTGATGAAACTCAATGAAAATTAGCAGCAAAATCTATGAAGCTCATTAACAAAACAAACCAACTATCTACAACGCATATGGTACCAAATCTAAAAATTCTCATAATCAAAGCTATTTTTCCATCACTTGGCCAAAAATGATGTGCAATACCGTCGAGTTCCGTGGACTTGTTCATGACGATCATGAACTGAGATCCGTAAACATTTGCATAGGGGTTCTCTTCATTGTTGGTGGCCATGGAGAGGATACCTGGACGGTCGTGCTTAACGGTGTAGTTCTCGTTCGGGTATCGAAGGCCGTAGATCGATTCGCCGAGCGATCCTTCCACGTGACCGTGAATGATATCCCATCCACACTACATATAACCGAGGTTTACTTTGTGGAAGATTGATCCCTTGAAGTGGAGTGGCTTACCAGACATGCCAATGCCTTTCTCGCCCAGTACAGAGAGCCCTAAAGTTCTCCGCCGTGATCGGGGTCTTGTCGGCAAAAAGCTCCATCTTGATTCAACCAACCAGTATGCGGCAGACTTCAATATCAAAGAAAACTTTAGGGTTAGGGTTAGCCATAAGAACTTGCTATAAACCTCGGAATTGGAATAGCAACAATCAAAATCGAATTTACTAGATATAGTGGAGAAATCATAGATAGTGAGAGAGAGAGATAATGAGAGAGAGAGAGAGATAATGTGTGAGAGAGAGTGTGTTATGATTTGTTGCCAATTTATTTTTTTTGAAAAAAAACAGAGTTTGGTATCTAAGGACATATATAATAGCTAAAATGCAAAATACAAATCAGTTCTATGAGGGAGATACACGATTTATGGAGTAGGGGTGTTTTGAAGCCTCAGCAATATCACTCAAGCTCTCAAAACATTTATCATTACACCTTTGTTGGTAGTGTACTTCGCAGCTCCGGTTTAACCCTGTATTAATCGAGACCGGTCCGGAGAGATCTTGGTTTACGAAGATTAGAATCGAGGTTAAATCGGGTGGCCGACATACGACTTTCTAGAAGGTCCATTAAAGTCCAGTTTATGAAAGTGACCGATCTTTCCGAAATTCACGGAGGATTTCCGGAAATATCAAGGAAGAAAAATGTTAAATCCCATATCGAGAAAGACAAAAAAAATTCTTCTCGAACCACCTTAGAATTTGTATAAATAGGGGAGGACTTCATTCATTCGAGGCATCCGCAAATCAAGAGTAGAGAGAGACCTTCGAAGAACTTTGAGATCGTCAATTTTATTTCGAGTTATCCCTTTGCTAAAGTTTCGACGACCTTAATTTAAGTTGTATTTTTCCGAACTATCTTCTAATAAAACGAGACTTTTGATTTGAATATTACTGTTTTACCCCTTAGTGTGATATTATATATCAACAATTGGCGCTGACTGTGGGGAATTACGGTAATATTCTAAATCTAGCTCAATAAGAAGAAAAATTTCGGCAATGGCAGACCTAACTGCTTCCGAAACAAGGAATGGCAACAACGACAACACTCCGAAAGATCCCAACAGAACAGACCCGAACAATACGGAAACTCCAACGAACCGGACCGATTTACCACCACCCGCACCAACAAACTCCGGGCAGTTCGACCAAAACGCCATTCTCCAAGCAATAACAGCTCAATTCCAAGAGATAACATAACAGAACAATGAACGCTGGGACGTCATGGCGGCCCAAATCGCCGAACTTAGTCAAACGCAAACCCCATTGCGAAGTCATAACCTATTGACCGACCTCAACTCAGAAGACAACCCGACTGGAATAGTCCGATCTACAGCCTTTGGATCTACTGGCAACCCAGCCACCCAATCCACCTTCAATTGCGACGAAGAATTCGAAGCCATGAAGGTCAAACTTCATGAAATCACCTCGCAGATTCACAAAGCAACTAGTGCCGCTTCCGAAATCGATCGCGTTATCCAAGAGGCACAAAAGACGCCATTCACTCCTAGAATTGCTAACACTCCTGTTCGGCATCTTGAGAAGTTAAAACTCAAAACTTACAAAGGAGATTCCGACCCAAAACACTTTCTCACATCTTTTGGCATCGTCATGAACCGCTGTCAGTTCCGGACGGCAGAAGAAAAAGATGCAGTGAAGTGTCAGATGTTTGTTGAAAATCTCCAAGGAGTCGCTCTCGATTGGTTCACTCGACTTGAAGCGAACTCCATAAACTGTTTCGCCGAACTCTCGACAGCGTTCGCTAAACATTTTTCGATGTTTATCGGGCAAAAGGCGCGAAATGCCGAACTATGGAGAATGGTTCAGGGAGAAAACAAAAGTCTCCGCGACTTCATCAAACGTTTCAAGTCAGTTGTCGCTCATTGCACGGTCAGTGACGAGGCCGCCCTCGAGTGTTTGCACAAGGCAACTCGGATTAAGTCATCTTTCCACAAAGCGATCAAACACAACCCACCGCTTACACTCAAGGACGCACTACATCGGTCGAACTCATATATTGCAGAGGAGGAAGAGGAGGCCGCCTACGATCAGAGCAAATCTTCACAAAAGCAGGTCGACCCAAAAGAGAGACCTAAAAATGACAATAACGAGCCACGTCTGACTTACGACAGAGGATTCAAAAATCGACGGAAGTTCGCAAGTAACAATGTCAACTCGGCTCAACCACAGCGACCATGGAACAATAAATGGATTCGCGGTAATGATGATCAAGACAAGACTTTGTTCTGCGAATTCCACAACCGTAAAGGACACATCACCGAAGAATGCCGACACTTGAAAGACTACCTCCTAGAACAATTCAGGAAAGGATTAATTTCGATGGACGATGTTCGCCGAACTCCTTTCCGACGCAACAATGAAAACCAAGAGCGACCTAATACAGTCACAAATGAAAGGATCCAAGACGCCGCTGGTACAACCAAAACAGATAACCCACAACCAGCCCGACCCGAGCAGCAAAAAAGAGGTCGGGAAAACAACGACACAGACACCCATGTACCAAAACCCAGGAAACGAGTCAACTTTATCATGGGCAAACTCGAGATGTGCAATTACTCAGTTCGGGGGATAAAAGAATATAGTCGACAGACGATTACCGCGTCAAAATTCAGCACAATAACGACGAGCGGACCAGCTATTGCATTCACAGAAGCGGATACAATCGGTCTCTAAATGCCACACAACGATTCTCTGGTAGTCGACCTACTCTTCGACGATGTCAAAGTTAGTCGAATCCTGATCGACACTGGCAGTTTGGTTAACGCCATCTTCCAAGACACGCTAGAGCAGATGGATTTTCCTAAGGAAAAAATCAAGGCCGACATCGAACCGTTAACAGGATTCACGGGCGAGCAAACCATGACTATTGGTACAGTCAAAATACCGATCTACGTTGCGGGTGTCGCAAAAACTGTCAAGTTCCTCGTCATGAAGACACCAGCAATCTACAATGCCATCCTCGGAACGCCTTGGCTCCATGCAATGAAGGCAGTAGCTTCTACCTATCATCAGTGCGTCAAATTTCCGGCTCCAGGAGGAATTTATACACTTCGTGGAAATCAATTCACAGCTCGATCATGTTACATTAATGAATGCAAGCTCCGAACTGCTAATCAATCATGTGTCATCAGCTCGAAGTCCGACCCAATAACTCAAAAGCAGAAGCCACCACAAGAAACGATAGTTCAGGTCAGCATCGACGAGACTTTCTCGGAAAGGCAGGTCGGTATAGATGCCGATCTGGATCTAGAAATCAAGGAAGTTATTATTCAGTTTCTCCGCAAGCACGTAACGACCTTCGCATGGTCAATCAGCGATATGCCTGGCATATATCCAAAGGTGGCAAGCTACGAACTCAATATCGACCCTACATATAAACCCATCAAGCAAAAGAGACGCAAACTTGGACCTGAAAAAGCACCAGCCGTTAATGACGAAGTTGAGCGACTACTCTAAGCAGGATCTATCACTAAAGTTCGATATCCAGACTGGCTTGCTAGTCCCGTTGTCGTCAAAAAGAAGAACGGCAAATGGAGAATTTGCGTCGATTTCACCGACCTGAACAAAGCTTGTCCTAAATACAGTTTTTTCTTTACCATATATTGATCGGCTGGTAGAGGCAACTACAGAAAACGAACTTCTTTTGTTTATGGACGCATTCTCCGGCTATAATCAGATACTTATGCATCTAGAAGACCGCAAAAAAACTTCCTTTACACGGATCGCGGAATTTATTGCTACAAAGTCATGCCGTTTGGGCTAAAAAATGTTGGGGCGACCTACCAACGACTTATCAATCGAATGTTCTCTAATCAGCTCTGCCGAACCATGGAGCTCTACATTGACGACATGCTCGTCAAGTCTCTTCTCGCCAAGGATCATGTTCGACATCTCCAAACCTGTTTCGAGATACTTGACCAGTATGGCATGAAGTTAAATCCAACTAAGTGTACATTCAGAGATACTTGACCAGTATGGCGAGGTTTGCAAGTCTTCGACTTTTGGGCTGCTTGCGCTGCAAATTTTTTATTTTTTTTTAAAAAGTGTTAGTTCTAATATATTAAGCCGACCACATAAAGCAAAGAGATAAGAAGACTCACCACGATGTTTTTCCTGACGAGCTATCAAAACCTCATAAGCAGAGGGCCAACGCTTCTTTCCTACTGCGCTAAATCGAGTGACAACTTTTGGCGTAACACCAGAATGACTAATACAGCTCCAAGGATGGCGACCTGCAAGAGATACAAAAGGTTAAAAACAATTTAAAGGTACAAAGCAAGACAATCAAACAACTAAATACCAATAGAAGTCGTCCAATTAGTTCAAAAACGCATGAGGATTCTCAAATGAGGAGGAGTCAACACGAAGATAAAAGTATTTCGATTCCCAACCCTTATAGTTGCTACTCTAAGATCCAATGACAAGGTTGAAGCCCGACCTCGTACAAGCGGAGAAGTACCATGGTTTCTTGTTATTCTTCATGTTACACAAGTCTTCGAATACCGAAATTGTGACCTCAAAACCAATGTCTGACCCAAGGGTCTGGATTCCGACGAAGTTAGTAACAGAAGCCGGCATCAACTGAGATAAGACAGCTCCTCGACGATTACAATATCCAATCAATCGACTGGGAATCGAAAAGCGAAGTCCGCAAGATCGGAAATAATCCTCGTAAATGCATATATAACCTTCAGGAGCATCCCATGGTATTTGAAAATTTTTTGGTTTCTTAATGCTGATTCTCGAAGCCCTGGCATGCTTTAACACCCTAAGAATGCTCTTCTTACTAGAACAGGATTCTTTGACCATCGTAGGAGTAACAATTCTACGACGAACTGTGGGAATGCCTAGGACTATCTCGCGCTGAGCTTCGTCAAGATCGACTCCGCCCGACTGAACTACTTTTTCGCTCTCTGTCTCGTTAAGCTGACCTACTTCGACATTGTGCACTTCGTCAACATCGTAGGCAGGCTGAGATGAGCTGACCTCCTCATATGTCGAGGAAGAACTAGACGAAGACGGTGAATCAGACGAATTGGGAGCAGGAGAAGCCACACGTTTTCCTTTCGGATCGTTCAGACTCGGTGAGGATTGAGAAGAGTTGGAGGAGCTAGATGAAGTTGGATCAGATGGAGCGGGTGCAGGAGAAGCCGCTTGTTTTTCTGTAGGATCACTCTGGCTCGGCGAAGAATCAGGTGAGCTGGAAGAGCTGGTAGAATCTGACGAACTGGAAGAACTGGTAGAATCGGTCGAGTTTGGAGACATCTGTGAGATTCGATGAACAAAGTTTAGAGGACACGTGAGAGTTCGGCATAAGTAGAAACAAGGTCGGTAAAGAAATGGAGACCATAAATTGGTGAAGAAGAGATTTCTAAAAAATACGGACAAATTTACTTGAAAAAGGAAAGGAAACAAGGAGAATATTAAGGCCAGCTTTTGGAGAGAAAAGTAGAAGTTTTGAAACCAAAATAAGTTAGTCGGCTGTGACGATGAAGTTCGGGTCCACTAATTAAAAGGAGATCTCACAGGCTGCGTTTTAATAAAATAGTTTATTAAACTAAAAATTAAAAAAGGTCGGTGAGCTTTACCTCGCAAAGAGAGCAGTTCGCCTGGGTAAGGCTGAACCCAAATCAAGAAGGTCGGTGAAGAGAAGCAGTGCAGATCCCGGTGAGCTTTAAGAAGTGCAGGTCGGCTTAATTTAAAAGAAGGAGAAGCTCGTTAAGATTAAGGAACTCGACATAATTGGGTCTTTGTTGTTAAATAGAGATCGGCTAATAAAAAAAATCTATTATATAATTAGAGAGTTTTCTCTCCATCTAAGGTGTCCATATCAGACCAAGAATGAAAACTAAATTTAATAACTCAATAATTCACACACATTAATAACTATTATTTTTCATTAAAAAACACTAATATTACTACTAAAATTAATGATTTAATTATCAAGAAAAATAATAGTAAGAACTCAAACAAAAAATTAGGAAAAAAATGATGATAAATTAAAGTTCAAAGACGATGAAAAATAATAAAAAAATAAGAGAAAGAAGAAAAATGAAAATATAACTAAGACGACACAGATGAATACGAAGTAAAAAAAAAGAATACATACACCAGATAAATAAAAATAAGAGACGCAAAATAAGAAAAAATGAAAATTTTTTAAAAAAAATTAGAAGGAAGAAGACGATGAAAAAAAAAGATAAAAATAAAAAGAAGAAAAACACAAAAATGATGAAAAGCAATTTTGAAAAATACATAGATAAAAATGTTGAAGATGAGAAAAGAGACTACAATATGACGATAGAAAAAATTAAAATTAATGATTCAATTAATTCATACACTTTAAAATAGTATTAATTTTGAAAAAAATAAAAGAAAAAACATTAGTACTAAAATTAATGACTTAATTAATTCATACATTTTTATAATAATTATTTTTTATCAAGAAAAAAGAAGTAAAAAAGGAAAAAAAATAATAAGTAAAAATAATTAAAGAAAAAGACGATGATGAAAACAAATATCAAAGAAGATGAAAATAATAAAAAAAATAAGAGGAAGAAGAAATAATCAAAATATAAAG